CATGTTTCTTCTCCTCCTACTTCTCCTGCCATTTCGTTAAATGGATTCAATTTCTTCATTTTGGGAGCAAATGACATGAAATTTAGCATAAAGGTAGAGTAGCCAAATACCCCAGGTGTTTTTTTTTTGTTGAAAAAATTGTTTTATTTGGGTTTTTGGTAATTTTTAGGAAAAAAAATACATTTTGGGATCTGGAGCCCTGGTAATAAAACCCAATGACCTGAAATTTGGTATGGCGATACCTTGGACATATGTCTACAAAACCCCATTCAAGCTTTCAACGTGCACTACTTTAAATTGTGTAAATTAGGGCTTTTGGCTATTTTCATACGTCCACCAGAGACACACACCTTGCCGCCACAAGTGTTACCCCCCTCCTCGGAGATTAAAATAGTTTTGTCAACCAGACATATCTATTTAGTAATACGTCATCCTAGTGACTGTACAACTGACAATATCACTTGCTCCTACCATTACATCTTGGGGGTGCATCATCTTTAGCTAGCTTTTCCTAGCCCTGAGTATAGGCCGAACCCAGCGAATCCATTCGTTGTATTATTCGGGGTATAAAAATATACAGCCATGGCTACTCAACTAGCCAAAGGTTATAATAAGATTAGTCCTGTCAGACAATGTAAACAATGTACAACTCACAAATGCTTACAAGAAATATTATAAAGACGCTGGATATTTCAAGGGCAAATTTTGTCATTTTAATGCCGTTCTTAAATGCCTTGGTTCCTTTTTGGCGCTTTTACGATCAAAAACGTGTTTTTGGCTCTAAAGTCTTGGTATATTAAATCAAAATGACTACATTTATCTAATGTCTTACCTTTTTTGTGACGATTTTAGGATCTAAAATGTATTTTTATCAAACCCAAATGTCTACATTTATCGAATGTCATACTTTTTGGGCGATTTTAAGATCAAAATTGTATTTTGGTTCTAAACTCTTGGTATTAAACCCAAACAAACTACATTTATTAAATCTGTGCAATCTCAGAGGCTTACAGGGCTCTACAAATTGCTGCAGCAAAATGTTTATAACAAAAAAATCAATCACCTCTTCGTGATTGTAGGCCCCCTTGATGAACATCAGTAGGATGGGTCCTGTAATGGCCAGAGCTACCACTACTGCCAGGGCAGCCACCATGCAGTACACACGCGCTCCCACATGTGGTGTGGTGTCCGTGTCTGACAAGGAAATATTAAATGACACAGGTTTAGTAAAATATTTAATTTATTTCACCAGTAATGCACGTAGGGAAGCTATGGAAGTTTATGTGAAGTGACACTTCTCCAAGCAACTAGCCTGAATTTACAATATGATCTTATTCATGATTATGTAATTTCGTATTTTCTTTATTTCCTAAAATGTCTTATTATTTTCTGAACAGAAATAAAGAAATACTGACAAGATGACGATGCATCGAATCTATACCAGCACCGCCACCAGACACAAAAAAGCATTAAAACAAAGGTATGGTGGAACATAAGCTGAAAAATAAATGTACGCAATTAAAACAATTTCCGATCAAATATGTTTTTCGGATAAAATTTCTTATTTTTTTTTCTATTGTATATATCGAAACATCTGATACCGAAAGGAGGGGGAATACAATCTGAGGAGCCGCACCCTACCTGTAGACGTGTCAGTTCCATAAGGCACGTCTCCCGAGATATTCTTCAGTTTCACCACCTCAGCTTCTTCGTAAACGTTCGATGACGTTCCCTGCCCTCCTTTATACTCATGACAAGCCTGTTTGCCACGGTGAACATGCCCGTTAGTGTTCCCTAGGCGGCCGGGAGGGTCATGGGAGGGTTGTTTCCTGTCGGACCCCGCTTGCGGAGTCCTGACAGGCTCTGCTTCCTCGTACATCTTTACTGCACAATTGTCTGGCGGCTGCACGGGCTAAAACAGCAAAAGCTGAGTGTATGAATATTCAAAATTACTATGTCATCTGTCAGTCTCAAGACGTATTCATGAATATGTACATATTTTGCAGACTTATTTGTGTGGGAGACAAAAGTCAATCTTGGACCTGCTAGGTTACCTTTATCCTTTGTGTTCCCCTCGCCAAACAAACAACAACAACAAAGAAACGAGTAAAAAAAAACATCGTGGTAAGATGTCTGCCTCAGAATCATCTTCGGCCGACCAATTCTTAACTGTGAAAATTTTGTATCTTTCGGTCAAAATAGTTCTATTTTAATCAATACTCTAATCATTGTGTCACGGGCTTTTTGTTAAGCAATCAAGCAAATAACAAAATGTTTAAACCAGAAAGAGAAGCTTGATAATTTTTTTTACAAAACGTCGTTAAGTTCTGATTTCAGGGACAGGACCTCATTTTAGGAACAGGATATGAAATGTATCGCGGCCGGCATCATATATTACAAGCTCTTGCAAATGACGTTTTTCCGCCGAGAGCCGCCCGGATGTCCCGCCGGCTATTTACAATAACATGGCGGTCTGTTGCTATGGTATTCTTTGCTAGGCGCTAAGGTGGAAATTTGCAGCCCAGATTTGACCACCGTGTAAGTGTTGAGTCAGCTGTGCTGAAACGTCCTTCACCTTTTGAGGCGTGGTCTATAATATATAAGCAGCTTTCAGCGAGTCATAGAACCTCATAATGGTGTATTTAGATTGATCTGATTGGATTGTCTTAAATAAGGCAATTTTATGAAACGTTTTTATTCTTGGCTTTTTTTGTGGTCCTGGAGCCAAGAAGGGTTTTTTTTTGGGGGGGGGGGGGGCTACTTAGAGTCTACTAGTAAACTTTGGTGTCATACAATTCAACATGATAATTTATGAGTCATATATGTTTTTTTAACTAATACCATCGAAACAGGTTGTTGCTAGAAAGTCAAAGTTAGTCAACAAAAATCAAACAGTGTCCATAACAGAATATTAAGTTCTGCCCAGCTCATATTTTTTATGGCAACAACACTGAAGTCTAAGACGTCATATATACTCAAGCTATTCGCCATCTTGGATCGCCAATAACAGATTTTTCGAAAGTATATTTTTTTCAACATAGAGCCTAAAATATGATGCAAATTGACTAATAAAGTTTATATTAAGGTCTATAATATGTAACATTTGAAATTACAAACGTAATACGGAGATATGATGGCATTTTCGAAAAAAAATGGTTACACTGGAGCTAACGATTTGGTCCGCCAAGTCTTTTTTTTCTATTTAAAGCAGTAAATGTTATATCAATATTTAAAATAACTATATCATCTTTTGGTCTAACGACGTATTTGTGATCATATAAATATGTACATATTGTGCAGACCAAGCGCCGTGTAGTTTTTTTACCGAGGTATTTTGTTCTTCTGGAAATGTCAGACTAATCTGTGTGGGTGAGATGAAGGTCAACTTTGAATTTTATAGACGGTGCCTCTGTGTATTAATCGACAAAAAAAAAAAACAGCGCGTTGAGATGCCCGCACACAAATCGTCTACGATAATAGAGAATTGTTCGCGAGATTCGGGTCATTTGGGGTATGAGCTGGGCTACGTTTGATATCTGTATTAAACTGTACACATATTTGCCTCTGATAGGCTGAACAGGCAACCGGGAAAATATTAACCAAGAGAAACATCACTTATGATAATGTTAAATCCTCAAAAGTGTATCGTTAAAAAGTTTTAGCCTATTTTGTGACGAAGGCCATATCAACACAGAACAAGTTTCGGTGAGCATGGGTCCCCATTGCCTATTGTTTTTTTTTAAATTGTATCCATTGCTTTTTTTAAATTTTTACCCTTATCATTGTTTCAAAGTCTTGTTATTTGGGCAAATAAAGAGAATATAAAGTGTAGGTCAGAAAGTGATTAATACAAAATTACAAAATTTCCTTGAACAGAATGGTAGATTTGTCTTTATTCTATTTTATTTTATTTTTATTTAATCTTTAAAGACGCCTGGGTAGCTCCTTCAGCCAAAGCTGATTTCCAAGGAGGCCCAGGGGTGTACAATAAGTAAAAGAATAATAAATTATACAAAGTACATAACAAAAGATGTAAATGAAATCAATATAACTGGAAGTTATACATAAATAAATGAATAATACGAAGTTCAACATGAACTGAGGGAATTTACAAGAAAACATAACTTCAAATCATAAACATAATCAACGTAAATCGTGGCCACATCTGGTGATGAAAGCAGTGTCTCGGCCAAGCCTTGCGGGTTCAAACGACTCCAAGTCTCCTTCGAGTAGACGCACAGCAACAATAATACTGGTATATTGAGTAGATTTGAAAACCCCACTCTTGTCTATCATTGGGTAAAGCCCTGTCACATGACCTCCTCCTGACAGACAGGGCGGAGATTCCCCAGACGGTACTATAAGTACTATACTAACGGGAGGGGTCCTAATTCCGACCCATGTTCCATGCAAACGCACATACCTTTGGTAATAGTTTATCTAAAAGAAAACCAGCGCAACATGAGATATAATATTGACAGATGAAGATCACAACGATTAAAGCTGCACAGCTGTGTATTTCACTTTAGTGTAGCGCCTTGCACCCAAGCATAATGGTTCACGAAACTTACGGCAGTTTTTTTTTTGCCATTTTGCCGGTGGGGTGCCCTAATTCCGACCTAGTGTTTAACACAGTTCGATCTGAGAAGAGAGTTTAGAAATTATGATACACAAATTATGACTAAAACAATCTAAAACTGTTTTTCTGCCCCAAACAAGTCCTCTTTTTACGTGACTTGCTCCAAAGCGGCTGTTTCAAAAGCAAAACCTGCATTTTTGACACGCTCGTCAACCCCCGAACAAGCGTCGAATTTAAACAGATTTTTCACTTGTCTGTTGTCAGTGTGTACGAATTAAAACAAAATTTGTGAGATTGCCGATATCAACACAAAAACTTTGTAATTCTTGTGGTTATTTTTAGTCACGTGCTCCCATGCATAACGCCGCAAAAGAATTTTTCAAACTAGTACGGAATTAGGGGTAGGTCTGAATTAATTAGGGCACCCCCCGTTACATGTACATAGTCAAAGTAAAGTAGTTTTCTAAAACTGCCTTAGTTGCCATACGTTGTAACACATACAGTCGTTGAGTATGATCAAGATTTTAAACCTCCTTGGTATAATTATGTTGAGCTTTAATCATGCAGCTTCACGCACAGAAAACACACATTATTTATGACGAATGTATGTTCCAGTGTGTACATACACGTGTATGGATCCGATGAAGGTCCACCTTGCGACCACATTGTTAACTGCACCGGCAGTGAAAATATATATACATTATTGTGAATTAAAACAAAGTGTAACTTTCATACTGCCTTGCCAGTTTTTCCGCATAAAGATTATCAATTTATTTTTAGTTCTTTTCAGTAAGAACAGAAGTATACGCACTTACCGAAAATGGACATATTATGTCATCAAGGGAATACGATGTACATGTATATGGAAAACTATGTAAATTTGTTCATACTTGTTTCAAAAGAGAGGAGATCTTGTAGATATAGACGCAGCACAGTAATGTAGCACTTGTTCCCCCTACCCCTATGTCAGTCAGTTATCTAACATTTGGCTAATGTAGGGCGTGAATACGTAATAAAGGTCATTGTCATCAAAATCGAACAACAGCCTACAACGAACGTGACCACACCATAACTGACACTACTCAAACACTGATCACGCCCCACCATGTTAGATCTGGCGTTATTAGAACAGAACGTATGTTCCATTTCGGGTCACTGGCGATTAATAGACACTACTCATACTCGAAGGTCAGATCTGTTCCCGCCATTTTCTCCTTGTGGATCGCCTCCAGAATCTTGTTCTCCTCCGCGCTGAACCAGTTCTTCCAGTCACCAACCTCTCCTGAGATTAAAAAAAATAGATGTCATGGCTCGTCAGCAATCTCTCTCTCTCTCTCACTCTCGCTAGGATCGGCGCTTTTCCCTTGGTTATACACTGCGCGTACCAATTGGAACAACTAGCTTTTAGCAACAATATAAGGGCATTGAATGCAGTTTTAGGTACCTTTACGTACGAACTCAAGCTCACTTCCCTCTGCCTTGCCGAAAATCTTCTGCAGCTTTGGGTTACGGGAATAGTTTGTAGCCGGGTTCTCCTTCATAGCGGAGAAGGTACAGTTCGCCACCACTTGGTCTATGCGCTGGTCTGACAGAGTCTTGCCCAGGAAGTTTGCGATCTTCACCACGTGGCCTCGCAGGTCCTACGTACATTGTATACATATACGATGAAAAAAAAGATGAAAAACATGACATTGACTAATCTGAAATCCCCATTTTATACTTGTCATAACCAGGGGTGCCAGAGTATACAGTGCAATTTTACGGAATACAGTACAATCGTATTAGAATACAGTGCAATTTTACTAATGAGGTTGAATCACGTGACTTGGACCCTGCTTTCCTTGAGTTTCAAGATGGCGGACGCCGCTGACTCACATATTTCTGTGTTTTTCGAGCGAATTCGAAATAATCCCTGTGTAGTAACATGCCCTGTGTGTAGTATGTAGTGATTTGACTAAAAGTCTATCTACGAGGACGGTTCAAAGTTGCTCGAAAAACACAGAAAGATGTGAGTACACTCCGTCAGCGGCGTCCCTGGTAAGCCGGGCCCAGGTTACGTCATTCAATATCATTAGTAAAATTGCACTGTATTCCGTAAAGTTGCACTCTATACTAATACGATTGCACTGTATTCCATAATATTGCACTCTACTAGTAAAATTGCACTGTGTTCCGTAAAATTGCACTGTATTCCGTAAAATTGCACTCTATACTAGTAAAATTGCCCTGTATACTCTGGCACCCCTGATAACATAACCGTGACCTTACTAGTGGTGATTGAGATCCCATAAATCACGTGATGCTTTAATCACATGCAACGCACGCAACCTATCAACGTCGACCCATAAATAAAAAAAACCTGATCGCAAGTGACCCTAAATGGAACATGCGTTCTGTTCGGTTGAATGTGATCTGGGTTTGAAAATGGATTTTACTTAAGCAGCTGGATATGACTTTGGAAAGGGGCAGATTTTGCCGAAATCTACGACATTTATATAAAAGTTTGCGTCATATTAAAGTTTGCGTCACAATGAAGAGGAGCAAGGGGCCAGTTCTGGCCTAAGCATTTAGGCAGGCAGGTAGGCATATTAAAGTCATATTTGCCGAGAGATCACGTCATAATTGATATTCAACTCAAAGCCTACCCGCTTAAGGTCTTCAAACTTGATGAAGAGCAGGTTGCCGTCATCCTTGTGTCGCCAGTACTCCGGAATGACGTCCCACCAGAAACCGTAAAATGCTGTTGATACAAGCAATATAAACAAAACACGACCTTGATGATGTAAATTAACTTATAATTTACAAATTAGATATCCAGTCAGTCTTGACTTAAGCTACCTCAATGTTGAAAATCATAAGAATTCGATTCACCCCTCTCACATGACATATCTATTTTATATATTTACATTACATATTTTATATGACAACATTTTTGATTTTGATTTTATTGAAATTGCAACAATGCAATACACGCGGAACAGAGGCAGCTGTTGCTGGTGTTGTGTCCCGCACATAGAAGCGAATACTGGACAGACAATGCTCATTTTCACTTGAGTCTAGTGGTGAAAGCCGTGTTAAGTGCTTTTCCCAAGGGCACAAGGTTGGTGGCATGTCAGGACTCGAACCCGGGACCTCTTGATTCCGTATGACAAAATACTTCAGATAAATGCAACAAAAAGTGATATTTATCATCGTCTGTTAGTGCCTGAGATTTTGAGACATGCAGCAGGATACTGACCTAGGTCCGGAGTAATAAAGTCCTGGAAGTTTTCCTCCCAGGTTCCGCAGGTCATATGCTGCATCATCCTTCTCATGTTGTGCCACGAGACGACCACATCTTTGACGTTCCGAGCACAGTAGATGATCTAGTAAAACAAAGAAAGAAATGTAGACATTTTCCACCCAAGCTTACATTCCCAACAAAATGCGTTAATGTTTACTTTCAAATGGTGTAAGCCAATAAACTACACTGCTCTGTTTATTTTTACTCATCAATATTTATATATAATTTATACAAACCACCCCTCCAGCTCTGCCCTGCTACATAATGTAACCCAAAACCACAGGGAGTCTGCTACAGCACCAGTAACTATAGTGACAGACGTTTGGTCCAGGTCATAGACCTTATATATTTGGAGACGTGCTAGCAAAATTCTCTATACACAACCACTTGTTTTACAAGAGTCGACATTTCATGTTAAAAAAGAGGTTTTAAATAAGAACATTGCTGTTTTTATTCTATTATTTACCAACCTTGTTGTCGAATAAAAGTTGTGTCATTCTCAGATTCAATTTCAAAAGTGACTGGACAGATGCCCACACTCCCCTGACATGTTATGTCTACTTGGGTGATTACTCTTTCCAGCAGCTTTCTATGCCTGGTAGAGGCTATTTATTCACATCAACAGTGTAAAAAGTGTAAAGCAGCTGCACCTTTCCTTTCCCGTCCCTGACTTGCTGGGGTAACAGGTGGTAGGGCAGGTGCGTACTCATGAGTCGCGGGGAGGGGGCGCTCTTCAGTAGTATCGGCCGAGGCACTCCTTCACCGACACCCAACCTTCCTCCTGACGCTTGCAGAGACTCGAGCCAGGGCGTGCGCACTTGCAGAAGGACTTTACTAGCTTCACTGATGTCACCCTCAGCACACACCAGAGAAACGATCTGCTGTGTCCATGTTGTTCCTGAAAAAGAGGAGTAAGATGATATTGAGGATTTTGAGTGCTTGATGTAATAGCGTTAGTAACAGCTGTCCCTCCTTGATGTTTTGCCTTGAAGTTTTTCCGTGATGGCACATGTAACTTTATATAGTACCAGGCTTTTGAATTATTTTAATATAAATAATACGTTGTAAATCAACCATACTCAGATGTTTTGTTATTGTAATATTTTATTTTAATCGACATTTTAATACTTTGTAATATTTTATGATATTCGTCATATTGAGTTGTGTCCTTTGTAAGTGAAACGTACTTTCATGTACTATGTAAGTAAAACGTGTTTCGGCCTGATGGCTGCAATGTTTTACCTAATAAACCAGGCATTCATTCATTCATTCGTTCATTCATTCATCTCTACAATTTTATACTATGGTTTGATCTCCAGATCTTACGAATGTATAACTGTCTATATGATGATACCAATAATGTTTATGTTTCATTTTAGCTGGTGTGTTACGCCGAAAGGCGGTTATACAGGCTATACAGATACGGATACATTTTAGACCAAGTTTTGAGTAAGATTGTATTGTATTGAATCAGCAATTCAGCTTTCGTGCTGCGTGATTTCTGTTTTAATAGACCGTTCATCATCATCTGTATCCGCACGCACGTCGGCGTAACACACCCGCTTCGCAGGCAGGCGGCTCTGTGGTAGCTGGCTGTGGAAGCGGCAGGAAAGAATTGAAATAGGCAAACTAGACAGATACTTGGACCTGGCTATTAAAGAGAAAAGTTTGGGAGCGGCAAACTGTTCTCTCATAGCGCGGGTTAACTCCCAGCATATCATCTGTCTAGTTGTCCAAGTTTTACTCTTTCCAGAATTCCAACAGTTTCCCAAAGCCTGGTAGTAAGAGTATATGCTGCATCGACATCATCATCATCATCATCATACAGGCTTACATAGCTTGCAGTCTGCCTAAGGTAGAAGATGGAAAAGATGAAAGAACGTTAAAAGAAAAGAAGACAAAATCTTCTCACCTGATTTAATGTAACAGGAGATGAAAACGTCGTCGTCTCTTACTTCAAATGAGTCCACCAGTTCCAAGGCCTTTAGGTTGACCGCATTGTCGAACCGCACTCCCTTGAAGTAAAAGGACGAAGGGCGATCTTGACTCATTGTGTTGTCGCGTTCACTGTGCGGCACTGCGTGGAAGAAGAGATGTGGACCCAGAGAAAACAACTCTGCAACAGACATGTGCCAGCTTACAAATGTGGCATACTATGCGGCAGAGACTGTCGCACTAAAGCCTTAATTAGTCACAATCCGCCGTTCGTGCTTTTTGTCCGTACATTTTTTGGGAGGCTACGTCTGCTACGTTTTTTCTGAAAACGTGGGGAAGGAGTGGCGTCGACACACGTCACTCGCACGGTTGCGCAGGGTGTAAGAGTGTGGTCTGCACGCGCGCCAAGTCTGGCCGTGAGCGATTGCGTGCATCTTACGTTGTGCAAGTGGTGAGTGAGTTGTACGTGCTTACAACGTACGATCTCTGTGCGATTGCAACTTTACCGTAAGGAGCTCGAGGCCGTACGCACACGTGCTTCTTCCGCACGGCACGTACGGTGCACGCGCGTCGGACGCACTCGCACGTACGGGTGGGCAATCCGCAGACCGCACGTAGAAAAAGTTTTACATGCACCTCAAGTTCTACGGCGTGTCTGCGTGCTCCAAAATCCGTAGGATTCCGTACGGAGGCGGTACTCACCACGCACGGATGCCCTACGTTTGCCCACGTTTTGCACGTAGACAGCACGCAGAAGCACGTACGGCGGGTTGTGACCGAGGCTCATTCCATACACCGCTGCCACCTATGTGGAGTCCATTTACATAACCCTGTCTAGACCCTATCTACCCTATCTAGACCGGGCTTTTTTGGCTTCGTGTGACGGGGGGGGGGGGGGCTCATTCTCGCGAACGGTATATCGTATGACCAACAAATTTTTAGAGGATGGTGTGCTAGTAAAAATAAATGGCGTTAACGCAATATGACGTCAAGATAGCGTCATTAATCTGATTTTATTGGCCAAAACGGTCTAAGTAGGTTATGCCCTAAAACAGCAATGGTATACAGCATAACTTTAACGACAAGTGTTCATGATAGAGTATTAAACTGGGGTGTGCCCCCTTAAGTGCAACCAGCTGGTGATTCAAGCAGGTTATGGGAGTTGGATGTGGAGAGACTGACAATACGCAAGCACCCCCTAAGCTCCAAACAGATCATACGGTGGCAAGGCAGTGTACATTAGCCATCGAATCGTCGGTAGCAGATCTGCTCAATGGATACTGCCTTGCCACCGTATGATCTGCTTGGAGAAACAAAGCAGGACATGTTTAAACACTTGATGTCATGCAAGAACGAATGTACAGTAGACAAACTATGTGTTTCCAAATGTTTCAAAAAGAGAGAAGAAAGGGCAAGTAACAGTAGATGATAGGTAGTATATAGTATTTTTGTATTGTATAGATTCTTAGAACTTTGCATTAGAATATAGCGCACCAGTATGAAATGCTCATATTTTTGCATACTGCATACCCTCTTGTGCATTTAGCCCATCTGGGCAAGAACATGCAATAAAGATTCATATCATTAAGAACAGGCTGTCCAAGACTTCAGTCATAAGTTTGATAGGGTCATTGGTGTGGTAAGATCTTTAAACCTATCTAGACCGGGCTTTTTTTGTCACTGAATGCCATCCAGTAAATTTCTAGCGGCGACCGATTTATGAATAATTTATCAAGGCCCACGGACCCGGTTCTTTTACTTGTAGAGTAGCCAATTATCACTGATCCGGTGGCACAAGATGTGCGAAAACACGCACTTCACACCCATTGTTCGTCGATATAAAGCGCTTATACATTACAAAGAGAATTTTCGTAGGACTGCCATTACTTTAGTTTGCAGCTTGTGTTGAGAACGGGGATCTTCATAAGTCTGCTGGCTGTTTGTAGAAGAACGGCACAATGAAACAGTTTTCAATACCATGACGACTTAGCAGTTAACACGCAATGAAGCCTACTTTTTTACGCAGATTATAGCACTACGTAATGTTACAAAAACTAACAGTAGATGTTTTAAGGAATTAACACAAATGACAATGATAGATAATGTAACGCTATCATTGAAGAGTAACAGTAATGTACTATGTAGTCGTGTTTGTGGTTGCTTCGGCAGCCTTTCCGCTGACGCAAACACACAGTACACAGTAGTTAAACAAACACACAGTAGTTTGAGGTTCCACAATTCGGCTTCGCTAAGATCTGTTCCTTCCCGTGGTGATCGCTACAGTCCCGTTTCGATTCGTTCATCAAAGTATATTTTACTAAGGTATGATTTTACAAAACTAAGGTATGATTTTACAAACTGATTGTGGAAGTACTAGTACTTAGTACTGAAGTAAACAAGAAACAATCACGCGCTCTGGTTGAGTTCATGGCATTTACATGAAACAAGGTGCTAATAGCCGCTAGTCGGTGACGCGTCAGCAGCCCTCTGATTGGTGCCCGCTAGAAATCTACTGGATGTCATATAGTGCACACGCGGGGAGGGGGGGGGGCATTTGACCCCCCCCTCAGAACTCGCGAACGGTATGACCACCTATTTTTAGAGGATGGTCTACTAGTAAAAAAAAATATAACAATTTATCAAATCTACAATTTTTATGCCAAAACCGTCTAGATAGGTTATTCCCTGAAAACTGGTATACAACATACCTTTACCAAAAGTGTTTATGACAGAATATTAGTGTGTACTAAGTCTTATGTTGCCCATAGCAACACCTGTGATGTCATAAAATGACGTCATGCATATTTAAGCTATCCGCCATTTTGATCATCAGTCTTGAATTTTGAAAAATAGATTTTTTTCAGGATAAAGCCTAAATTGCATTGTTTACAGACTAAAGACGTTCATATGAACCTTTTTTGTAACAAGAAATGGAACTGTTGATGAAATTTTCAGGAAAATAACCTGTATATACCTGTTCTAATAATATGGTCCGCCATCTTGGATTTTGGCTAATGACGTCATCAAATTAGCATAAATTATGGCTATTTTAATGATAAAATTTACATAGAATTATATGGAATGTTATTAATATTGGAAACCATGTGTAACTTGACATAAAAGCCATAAAATTCTATTGTTGAAACTAAAATTACTAAAATTAGACTGCAATTATCTTTTTAGAAAGGACTAATCATATGTTGTTGCATTTTCCGCTCTCAGATAAGTGTGAAAAACATGGCTCTTTCTACAATTTAAGGAAAACTTTGCGACGGTAGGAAAAGACAGAAACGCAACATTTCCTGTAGCTTTACGACGCCTATACTGATACTGTAGAGGGGGAAATGTATCCCGGTCGGCGGAAAGCGTGTTTGACAGTTTGTAGAAGGAGGAAAGAAACTGTAATACTGTGGTTTTGGAAAGCCAGATATAAACATATAGAAAGGGCTAGGCATGGTGTGTTATATTTGGCCGATCTCAAATTAGTGTGGAAAACATGGCGATTGCTTCAATTTAGGGAAAACTTTGCGACTATAAGAAAAGACAATTTCAACATTTCCTGTAGCTTTACGACGCCTATACTCCCGTAAATAATTTCATCAGGTTGGAAGATACTTAGGGTATAGAATTTTCTTCTTACACAACCAGTAAGGTTCTCACCTGCTTACGTTTCGATGTCTATCAGACACCTTCCTCAGAGCTTCTGATTGGAGTTCTGCAACTCGCCGCTATTCAAGTACGTGGCGCTTTTGCGGCGAGAAACGTAAGCAGGTGAGAATCCTTACTGGTTGTGTAAGAAGAAAATTCTATACTCTAAGTATCTGTATAGAGGGAAATGTCTTCCGGTCGGCGGAAATCTTGTTTATAGAACGAGGAAAGGAACCGTAAGTTTTTGGAAAGCCAGACATAAACATATAGAAATGACTAGGCATAATAATGTCAGGTCTTGCGACGATTCAGCAAGAAATTAGGGAAGATATTTAATATTTTAGGACAAACCAAAGATGAAAAAGCATATAAAATGCTTGTGTTTAGTCGCGCGAGGTTGGTAAGGACTAAGTCATGATAATAAAAAAAGATCGTATGGCTTTTGAGATGCCTCTAGTTAACTCATTACCGCAATGCTTTCTTTACATTATATTTAAGTCCATGTAAAGCTTACGGAAAGAAACACGTTATATTAACGTGACATTTACTCATGTGGAAAGGTTACGGAAAGGCCATGTTTCCCATTCAGTTGTCTTTTCGATGTCGTAAAGGCTTCTAAAATATTTCGCCGCCTTTGATATCTCTTAATGCAGTTCGTAAAGTTGGCTCAAATGTGTTTTCGTGCTGTGTTACTCGGCGAGCAAAATCATCGGTTTCAGAAAGTCTGTGGTCGCCCCCCCCCCCCGTCTTTCTCGAGGGCCTGATGCGGATGACCTCCGTAATACCCCGTGGAAAGAAGGCTAGCTGCGTGTCCTAATTTTTTTTACTCTGTCCAATTAAAAAGGAGACCGAAGGCCCAGGCGATTCTACATGTATGTATTGTGAAACTTCCAAAGTTTTGAACCCGGGTCATGTCTTTTTATATACCTAGAAAATTCATGTAAGTATAATTTCTTGTGTTGGAAATTACAGTTTAAACCTACTTCATAATTACCTTTTTTGTACTATCATGAAAGTTCATCTGTGTTGGTAGTAATCATAGTAAAACGTTAAACTTTATTCCAACACACTATTTACAGGGATCAAATTTTCAGCGACTACTGCAGCTGTCGCCTTCATCAGGATAATTAATGACCAGAATACTAACAGAAAGTTAGAATACTGGACACTGAACAGGACTACTTGCTAAGAGGCATTAAGGAGGCTATATATATCAGAGCACTTCAGCCTTCACTTAATAGAGATGGTGGACGATATAAACTCCCTGGCACTTTTGATCAATTGCTTACGTCACGTATCAGTAAAGTCTCGTGTGAATAAGGTCACGTGTTTGTAAACCGTAACTCTCGCGAGATCACGTTGTGAAGTGATTGGTCATTAATTATCCTGATGAAGGCGACAGTAGTCGCTGAAAATTTGATCCCTGTAAATTGTGTGTTGGAATAAAGTTTAACGTTTTACTACCTTTTTTGTACGTTTATGCCCTTACAAGCTAATGAAGCACAGGTCATGGGCAAACAGGGAAAAAGAATATATGAACAACTTACTTAAACTATGAATACTAAATGTGAACTACTATTAACAGGTTCAACTTCTTCTCGCTTCTTGAGGCAGTTGTAGATGTATGAACATATGGAGCTAATGATACATGGTTTGTCAAGTTTCATATGGAATACGAATTTTTCTGTTTTATCTAATAGTCTAAAGCTGGTGAACATATCTGTTTATAGTATAAAGGTATATAGTATTTTAGTTTATAGTATATTTAAGTATAAAGGGAATTCTTACTGCTAACACAGATGAACTTTCAAGATAGGGAGGGAGAGGCCAATGCACTCTGTGAACGCTAAAGAGCTTTCACAGGCAGTGGAGCAAGCTTTGGGTGAATTCCACAACACTGTGAAGAGGTTGGTACTTACACAAAAGGGGAGATTTCTTTTACATCGTCACAGGAACCGCATTTCGACCCAGCCGATATGGGAACGTCTTCAACAATTGTGCGTTAAATCCGTACCTCTTTTCTAGTAAAGACACTTGATATGAACACACACCGGCTTTAGCGCGGGTATTAGGCGAAGTCACGCAACTGGGGCTTTGCCACAAATCTCTGCGGTTTCACTGAAGGAAACTTAAACTAAAAATGGTTTTCTTTACCCGAAGACTTTCAAATAAGAAGTAATCACGATATCCAAACGGGATGTAGCGTTCAGGCAATCTGTTATTGTGGTTGCATTTTCGCATTCACGCATTCATTTACATTCAGAGGAGAAAATTAACTATACTACTATACATGTACATAGTAAAAACATATAAATATATATATATATATATATATATATATATATATATATATATATATATATATATATATATATATATATATATATATATATATATATATATATATATATATATATATATATATATATATATATATATATATATATATATATATATATATATATATATATATATATATATATATATATATATATATATATATATATATATAGAAAGAGAAAGAGAGAGAGAGAGAGAGAATGCAAAATTAGGTAAATATATTAGACTGTTTTGTTGTTACGAAAAAGGACAGAATCGCATGATTAGTCCTACTCCATTGTAACATTATATCAAAGATATTACATGTACCTTTTATCCTATATTAGGTCATATTCTCTACTTCTTTTGAGTACTTTGTTCAATAGTTGTTGCCATACATTGTATCGTGTAAAATTGTCGTGCAATAAAGTTCTTATATAAAAGCTGACTAGACAGTAGTTGTATAACTCCTATTCCTTTACCTTGCTTTCTTTGACAGTGTACAAGCAAGTAGCCTTCAGGGACAATTTTGCGAATAAATTATCATTATTAATCCCTTTTTTGACCAAATCCTTACACTCGTTTGAGGGCCTAGTGGAAGTTAACCTTCAGATTCGTCAAACGTAGTCAGGAAACACATGTAAACAGCAGTATATACTCACCAGTACAGGGACAAATCCTACCATCGTAACAGGAGTTATCGCTAATCGTAGGGACTTACCGGTTAGGCGATAGATCTCCGTCTGGCTTCCGTCATCCTTAGTGTCACCATAATGACTGTATTTATATATAATCACTATTGACACACCTGGTGAATGGGGAAGCTCAGTGATTGGTACCTTATTGCGTAGAATTCGTCCTCGAGGTTAGAGTTGTACAAAGACTGTCTCTATATATAAGTATCCCTGCTGTCCTTTCTTAGCCTCCATAGCATGCCAAAAACTGGGGGATTTGGGGGTCTTCATGGTCTTTGGGAGCTTTTATGTGCTATTTTCTGATTGCATATACATGTAGACAACATAACCGGCCTGGTTGAATTACCCCCGTTTTTGAGGACTGGGCCAATCAGATCACCAAACCCCCAGTTCTATAAGCCTGCTACGGAGGCTAGCCCTTTCTGACCTATGAGTATTAGATCCATTTTAGCCAGATCCGCATTCTAAACAAAGTCGGTACATCAGGTCTAACAGGTCTCTCAGTTTACATATATATAGAGAGAGACGCAGTAGAAAGAGATCACAGACAGACTCCGTCACGTCTTGACCGGAGCAAACCAGGCAGCCATACGGGACGCCGTTACCTTTCCGCCGTAAGGCTGTGCGAGGCTTTGCGGCAACTCGCCGAAGCTTATTTAATTGTGACATACACTCGTTCGAGATCGGGACTACGAGGAGGACACTACAGGTACGACAAACTTCTAAACACTCGTAAAAGACAACATTTTCTGCTCATACTCTTACTCTGTACGACAAATCCGTACTTACACGACACAATTTTGCACTTGAACGTTCTGCACCGTTTATGCAAAATTTTATACTTCTGTAGTCGTCAAAAACTTGTAATGGTGACCACGCTGCACAAAGACCACCTGGTCATTGTGACAACTGTTTTGTGGTCCCTTGTATTATTCTGCCAACCATTTACAATCCACATGTCCAAAGCGGACACCTATCTACGATGACCATTTCTTAAAGTCCCTTGAGTGGTCACTTTCGACAGGATTGAATGGTGTATGTTGACTAATGTGGTTGTGCATAAAGGTACTTGGGTGTAGCCTGGTATCCAGTCTGATCGTAATTGGTGGTATTGGGGTGTTCAGGCAGGTTTTGTCTTCGGGGGCACTAATAGCTTCCCCCGCCCAGTGCAACAGACCGTCCCGGTAGGAGTGTTACGATAATAAGAGACAGTATGCTTGGGGATTTGGTTCCCCCCCCCCCAACACATCGTGAAATACACACCAGGAAACCGATGTGAGGTGGGCGGGACAGAGCTCTTGCGGCCCCGACCACGATCAGACTGGATACCAGGTGTTCACGATAATAAATTTGGGAATTAAATGTCACCGTGCAAAACGTGATCTTATGACAAAGAAATATTCAAGCTTCAAACGAGACCTTCGGTCGACTCTATTCTGCCATGATTAGTTTGTGTAATTGGGATGATTATTAGGTCAGGGTTACTACACAGGATAGGTCGTTGGCCCCTTCGCTTTAGTCTCTACCACACTAGCACTGCAGATTCAAAAACAGTAAAAATTTGGCAAAATAGGGAGAAGAATTGGCCAGGGGAGCTTGGCTTGGAGTTAATTTGATTGCAGCGGAAGGGAAAATCAACCTTCCCGCGGACTGACTCTCCCCACCTTGCCCTCCTGGCCACAGATTATTCTTGCCGAATTCTATGATAAGGCCTGGTGTGTTGTTTGTGTGTCACTATGTACGCCCTAAGGCACACTTAGCTACGCCAGAATGATAAACTACCTTTTAAACGTACCGATAGATAGATGCCTGAAGCTATCGCTATAAAAAGAAACATTCGTGGCTAAAAGTACTTGTTACATCAACACTAGTACACGAACCAAAGTGTTTAGTATTTCACAAAAAGTAGCAAATTTACGTAATCTGTTGATGAGATTTAAAATTAATTAGCTTCAAACAGAAAATATGAGTTAGATAATAAGATGAATAGTTAAGATATGACAAGTCGTGTATCTTTTTCGTAAAGCCCAAACATACACATATGATATGTAGAAAATGGATTTTCTACATATAGCGTCAACAAGCTGACAAAACTCTGGCCACTGCAGGAATGGCGGGCTCAAAATGTCGAAAATTGTCTCACCGTCATTTTTTTTTTCATATTCCAACATCTAATCACAAGACGTGGTGACGGCACACTCAATTTTTTTTCAACTTCTATTTTTATTTAGGCCGCCACCAACACAGGGGACAATACAAAACTCATTTTCACCTAAGCGAAGTGAGGAAAGTCGTGAAAAGTGTCTTTCCCAAGGGCACAAGATCAGTGGCATGTCAGGACTTAAACCCGGGACCTCTTAATTACGAGTCAAGCACTCTGCCGCTACGTCACGCGACCCCACTCGACCCACACGACCCCACTACACCACACGCCACTACGAAATTCTTGATAAAACTGATGACTCTCTGTTTCCAGGTGCAGATACAGCCTGAGAGATGAGTCCTGTGCTTGTGATGTCCGTCCTTCTGGGTGTACTGACTATAGGCGAGGCTCGCATCAACAGAGATCTGCAGGACCAGGTCGGTAGCTAGACGTCACAATTGCGTTGCGACGTAGATTGTAGTCCGTGGTTAATGTCTTTTTAAAGACATTAACCACGGACTACAATTTCCCTTGAAAATGTTGATCCAATTTAGAGATGTTTGGGCTAGAAGGAACAGGTAGAGTCTAAACTTTCCTGCTGGTAGCGCTTGGATGCGATTAATTTGCATACTCGGGACAACTTAAATCAAGCCGTTATCAAACACTCAAGTATCGGGCCGTAAGCCGTTTCCTGCGGCAGTCAGAAGCCAGCGAGGGTAGATAGTCAGGGAATCCTGTACAGCTGTCAGGTCGTGATTGTTCTTAAGGTCGTCGAGGGTACATGGAACCCGAACCTTTTGCTGTATTGTTGATAGCACTCGCCCCGATTGCGACTAGCTTGAACCTCGTAGCGGGCATAAAATATGCACAGTACGTTTTTGAATCACGGTTGTAACACAGGGCCTCTTCTTCCAAGAGGTCGGCTGGATGAATAAAAATAGCCCTGTAGCTGTAGCTTATCTGGTTAAAAGATTTTAAATGTTGGTAAAAAAAAGCCAACGTATATAAACATGTGACAATGTTCCACCGATTTACAACACTCCTTTCTCCTGGCCAAACTTATAAACTGACAGAGTAATTGTTCCAATTATAAGAATGTGCCTACGGCGTGCGCAGGTGGTAGCAGATAAAGGAATTAGCGAACAGCCAATGAAAAACGACATCTACAAACATGGGCACACCTGTTGCTGCCCGCATGCCCATATTTGGGCCTGCCTGCCCCATGCCCTCTCCACATTCCATTCCTATTACGTCACGCACCGACACTAGCTATATGTACAGTTTATTGGCTCCAAAACAGTCCAAAAGTCCCAAATTATACAATTTCAAAGGGGTGCATGCAGAACGTTATAATTGATTGTTGTCGATAGCTATATAAAGCACACCCATATCAAATTTCAGAACGTTTGATTATAATACAAGGTCCCCAGGACCCCCATAATGTACAGATTTTGTCGAAAAATGACCGAAAAACGTAAATAAAACAATTTTGATAGCCTGTATCGAAAAAACGAAGAAAAAAAAACGCCTGGGGGTATTTGTCCACTCTACCTTCATGCCAAATTTCGTGTTATTTTGCTTAAAAGTGAAGAAATTGAATCCATTTAACGAAATGGCAGGAGAAGGAGAGGAAGAAGGAGAAGAAAAAACATGAGGAAAAACAGTATGACTTCAACACATAGTGGTAAAGCCATAATTAGGGTTTGTACTGTCTGTCCAGGTAATAGGAGACCTGCAACAGGCCGCCTGTCCGTACTGCCAGCTGTGCGTGACCAGACAGACGTGTAAGAGCGCCCTCGGGCGGCCGGTGTGTAACGTGCTCTGTGGGATCTGCAAGCACGCCGACTGCCAGGCGCATCCGCCCAGTGAGTGTTCACACACATCAGGGGTGCCAGAGTATACAGTGCAATTTTACGGAATACAGTACAGTCGTATTAGTACACAGTACAATTTTACGGAATACATTGTAATCGTATTAGTATAAAGTGCATTTTTACTAGTAAAATTGTACTGTATACTAGTAAAATTGCACTGTATACTAATACGATTGCACTGTATTCCGTAAAATTGCACTATACTAATACGATTGTGCTGTATTCCGTAGATTGCACTGTAAACTTGTAAAATTGCACTGTATACTAGTAAAATTGCACTGTATTCCGTAAAATTGCATTGTATTCCGTATAATTGCAGTGTATTCCATAAAATTGCACTGCACATGCTTGGTTGAAGCTCACCCCTGTGGTCACACATATCCGAATATGATTGGTGGTAGGTCTGGAGCAAGGTCGGCTGTTATTGGCTGGTGTTCAGGGAAGTCGGCTACTGTTCGTCTGCGCCAGCCAAAAGTTTCAAAATGGTTAAAACATGCGGGTGTGGACGGGAGGTTCGGCCATGGTTGGCCACTGGTGTTCGGGAGTCATGATCGAGTGTTCGAGTCGATGTCGGGATTCAAGTGAATCTCAAAATTAGTTCAAATTTGATTCAAGTAGAAAGGCAGACTTGGCCTAAGTCTGGCCAGCCTGCTCCCAAACACCAGCCCACTGAACCATTTACAAAATATTACAAACAATTGTAAATAATTGTAAAAACGGTAGAATGCTAGCGCTGTTATATCAGGAATATTTGAAATGTTTGACACAACCTGGGAAGTATTTAGAATGTTGAATGTTCAAAATGTTTCTAAACGGTGAAATTTCCTAGAGAATTACAAATAATTGAAGGCATTTCTAAATAAAGACAATAACAACCCTCTTTATCTTGAAGCGGAGGAGCCGTTATCCCCGGTGGACGGCCAGTGGGGCACGTGGAGCAGCTGGGGCAGCTGTAGCGCCACCTGCGGGGCCGGTACACACACCCGCCGTCGCACCTGCACCGACCCTGCGCCCGAGAACGGCGGCGTGAGCTGCTCTGGGAACGAGCTGGAGACTCAGGCGTGTCAAACCGGCGTGACCTGTCCGGGTAGGGTCATCACATTCATTCATTCATTCATTCATACATTCATTCATTCATTCATTCATGCATTCATTCATTCATTCATTCATTCATTCATTCATTCATTCATTCATTCATTCATTCATTCATTCATCTATTTCTTTATTTGTTCATTGGTTCAATTGAAGCTAGCCCACGTGCGCATTGCCGCTCATTTGCATTTTTTTACATTTTGTTCATCTGTTCCTTAATTTATTAATCTTTTTTGATTAATCACCTGTTTATCATTTCATAAAATAGGTGATAAACTCAATTCTCGAGTACACTAAAAACGACTGTGGAAGAGTATTAATTGTTATGGCTTTTTTTTAGAAACCCTCAAAAGAATATGAAGAATATCTGTTGCAGTTTGTCGCTCAGTTTTAATTCAGAGAAAGTCATGGAAATCACTTGTTTTTTTGTAAAACTTCAAATGATGATTGATACAGTCAAACCTCTACAAGTGAGGACTTGGCCATTACCAACTCTATCCCAAGTAACACAATGCTTATAACGAAGATTCCTGTCTACTGTGTTATCGTACGTTCTTTCTGTATCCATTGTGTGCATCTGCTGCTTACAGGTGATTCTTCAGATCCAAAATGGCGGACAGACGGGCGCTGCGGTCAGCAGTACCCCGCCTCAGGAGCGACCCCTGGCGAGTGTGACCCGAACAGCAACGCTCCCTGCTGCTCCGAATATGGGTATTGCGGTGCAAGCAGCGAGCACTGCGCCTGCGCAAGCTGCGCAGACTACAGGCTTCCTTCAGGTAAGATTATAAAGACCAATTTCTCCCCCCCCCCACCCCCCCAAAAAAGATAATAGAACTTGTAATTTGTTTTCCTCCTGTGCCTCCTGTAGATACACTCTAACGTACATCTTAGGTAACCTTGTTTCTTTCGTTTTGTGAATGAAACGAGGCCTGTCGGTATAGGAAAGCAATTTCAAACCGTTTCAACGTGCCTGTTGCTGTCTAGTTGACGGTGGTTGGTCGGCCTGGGGCGCCTGGTCGTCCTGTCAGGGTCTTTGCGGCACGGGCAGGGAGTGGCGCAGTCGGACCTGCAGTAATCCCGCGCCACAGAACGGGGGCGCTGCTTGTCAGGGTGATGCGTCTGAGGACAGGGAGTGCGATACCGGGACGGTATGTCCAGGTGTGTATTGCAATCACATAAGTTGTGCGCATATTTAATAAATTATCGAAATGAGCCACGCTGGTTCACGCAAGATAAGGGCTGTCACGTGCCATTTTTCACGAGATCAAGATGGCCGACTGCATGGCAACTTTTGCTTCCCTTCATGTTGGAAGTGGTTACTATTAAAGTGGTTTTCTTGAAAGGAACCCTGTGAATCATATCAATGTAGAAACAAGATCCTTCTCTAATACAGACACCAGACATACATGGTCTTTGGGGGTTTCCCCTTGAGTAACACCCACTCATGAACAGGGGGTGCTGCCGGGAGGTCATTTCACCACATGGTCAAATCAGGGTAATTTACCAGCCATTTTCATTATTAATGCCAGTTTTGCCACTAATAATCTTACACACATCTTAAACCACGCCTATTTCACTACTTATTTTTCATAGTCATCATTTGGTCAGGATCCCAGATTTTCTGTGAGGGCCATTCTAAGTTCAGTATATTGGAGCATGTGGTCCAGGCCTGGAGCCACTTACATGCTACTTTGATAGTTGTTTGCCTAGTATTTCTGTACCCCAAAGAATCCATTATTTTTGAACTGCTTTTTTAAACTTAGATTTACTTTGAAATCATTAATTTCTCACAACAAAGACTAGTACTGCATTACTATCACTTTTGTTTTATTTTGTTCCCACAAGGATAGTTCCAAATGTATGGTAAATATGGCATATGTACCTATTTTTGAGTCTCCACTGCAAAAAACACAGGATCCTGACCATTATCAACTGGCATCCATGTCGTAAACAAAGCCTCAAACTGCTTATTCTTCAAAGGTTTGAGACTGGGAAAACTTCATTTCACCCGAAAGACTACAACAAAGTCTTTGTATCTTCCCTCAACTCCCAAGGGTGGAGAGGGGGGGCGATTTTTGGCTGTACGCTGTATATTTTGTGGATTTTCAGCCAATTTTCCCTCTGAACTGTCAGAAGGCATCATGGCTGCCCAGTTGAGCTGGGAATAGAACCCTCACGTGATGCAAAAGGGCCACAATGATTGGTTAAAGTAGGTAGGGCCGTCTACAATAACTGCAATACACTCAAGCCACCAGTAGGTGTCTCTGGTGTACTCATTAGCATATGGCCCAGATGTGGGACAGAACTAAAGTGATGCAGGGAAACTGGTGTAATTTTGCCGGGGGCGTTAGGCCATGTTGATTTGATTATATGGATGACATCCTCTGGGAACCCCAATACTGATGCGCGCGTGCGAATAAAAAAAGTTTTGCAAAAAAAAAAGTTGCTTTCACTATGAAATCTACGTGGTCATGAAGGTTGAACAAATGGCACAGAATATGTTATGGCGAAAAATCTACTCTTTGAATTCATGTCTACATTTTTGTCTTTTTTCCTTTGATTTTGGCATTCTACGACATTGGTATCGTTTCTAAATGTTTTCCTTGCAACTTATGGTATATTTTTGCTCATTTAGCAACTGTTCTGCACGATTTACAGTATGGTTGAAAACTTTTTTTTTTGGAAACGGCCGAAAATTCATGCGCGCGCGGATGTCATCCATATAATCAAATCAACATGGCCTAAGTTATAACTGTACAGCAATCATGGACAAGATCTGAGGGTCCAACTACGGAAGGATCCGGCTTAAAATAAGACTTTATAAGTCCCAAAAATAAATTTCAATTGTCCCGAAGTGAGGATGAACTGTCCCAACCTGTTTTTTTTTGCAAGTATTGTATGATTTCAGGTTGAAGT